CCATGCAGCATAAGGCACACCTGTGCAATAATCATGCTGTCTAATCAGCATCTTGATATGCCACACCTGTGAGGTGGATGGATTATCTCGGCAAAGGAGAAGTGCTCACTAACACAGATTTAGACAGATTTGTGAACAATATTTGAGAGAAATAGGCCTTTTGTGTACATAGAAAAAGTCTTAGATCTTTTGAGTTCAGCTCATGGAAAATGGGGGCAAAAACAAAAGTGTTGCGTTTATAATTTTGTTCAGTCTATATACAGTATATATACAGTACACACATTTCTAGGATGTCTGCACTTTAATAAATTAGGGTCAGTAGGTTTTTAGATACAGTATAGTAGAGAATTGTGGGCATCCACAGACGGTGGGGTTTCTCTCTAAAAGAAGAGCAACAAGTCATATTTGATTTGTCATCACACTCCTGAGCCTAAAGCCAGATCTGAGCTCTTGTAACAGTTCTGTCACTTCTCATTTCACATGTGTGCATATTTAAAGGAACCAGTGACCCAGGGTTTTGAGCTCAAGTCTTTTATTCTTATCAACCACAAACCAAAGGTTAAGACATAATTAATTTGTCATAAACTGATGATTCATCCATGTATTTCTTAACTATTAATCTCAGATGTTCATATGTGTTTTATAATACCTTTGTATATTCATATTCATACATCTAATAAGGTGAATTCTTTTTGAAAACCACAAATACTAGTAGAAAAGAATTAAAAGTTTTTTTAATTCTGGTCACCAAATATATGACAGTGAAAAATATACACTACCGTTCAAAAGTCAGTATGTTTCTTTTTAAAGAAATGAATACTTTTATCCAGCAAGGATGCATCAAATTGATCAAAAGTGACAGTAAAGAATGTTGCAAAAGATTTCAATGCTTTTCTTTTGAACATTCCATTCATCAAAGTATCCTAAAAAAATAAATAAAATCATGGTTTCCATAAAAATATTAAGAAATAAATTACAATTTAAAATATATTTAGCTTTATAATATTTAATAATACTGTTTTTACTAAATTTTTTATCAAATAAATGCAGCCTTGGTGAGCGTGAGAGACCTATAGTGTATGTATATCTTTTATTTAAATATTGATGGATCATTTGTGTTTTGATGACAAATAATGTAAATATACTGTAAAGGCAGAGGCCTTTGGTCCCATGATTGTACCCAAAAATAAATACAATACACTCATTTGTTCTGCAGCAATTTGCTGTTTAAATAATAGTGGCTTAGCAAATATTATAGCAAATCACATCTATTGGTCATTACAAAATAAACAGAAATATTAGTGGCTGCATCCAAAATTGCATACTTCTTTACTATAGTGGCAAAAAACAGTATGTGACTAAAGTAGTATGTCAGAATTCACAGTACTCATAAAAGAGTTGGCCAAAAGTACCCGGATGACAGTCTTCTGGTTAGATTCACTTTACTATCCCAAATCTTCCCGGTCTAATGACATTTGTTATGACATCAGCTTCAAACATTACAATACTCCATTAACTCTACTTTATATCCACTTCCCCAGCTACATACTCTTCGACAGCGATAACATAGAAGTATACAGAATTACCGCAAAAACAGAAGTTCAAACACAAATTTCTAAAGATGGCTGCACGCTTGTTTCTCTGCCGCTCAAGGTCTTTAGGCCTACATCCAAATTTCTTTGGTCTGAAAGAGTGTGGAATGTTGTATATTGTATGAAACAATCCAGATATTCCTGCTTTATATTGCTAACAGATGTTTATATCAGGAAAACAGAGCCCTGGTTTGTTTAGATGACTAGAATGTGAGTCATTTGCCAAGTATACTCAGACTTTGATTTTCTTAGGGATAATGCTTACAATTAAGGGGTGATTCTCGACATATAATCCATTATATGTTTACCAAGTGGAAACCAGTCATTCAAAATTATTCAATGGTGCTAAGCTAAAGACAGAAAGATAATTTTGCCCATGCTAATGTCTTAGCAACTCTGTTTTAAGAAAACACATAACCAGCCATATCCCTTCCCTGCTTACTAGTCTTAATCCAATTTCAGCAACACGTTACATTGGCTTTTTAGAAGCTGGTAGATCTTTGGCCTCTGAAGACGTTTAAGATTACACATGTGAAACTGATTCTTTAGTGTGGTGCACGGTGCTCACGCTATTTCTACATTTAGTCATGCAAAAGTGAAACGCTGAAAGTATTTTAAATGGTCAGAGGGTTCAGAGCAACATGCACTGTATTATAACTGTACTTCTGTCTAGTACAGACTAACCTAACAAAAGTGACTAAATGTATCTGAAGCAGGGTGCTATTCTGTACCAAATGGGTGTCGGTTGATTTTAGAGATTTATTAATGTGATTACTGAATATTATAATGTTGTGATTCACTTTTAGCATTTATAACGATTGTAGTTTGTATGTGTTTAATATTTTTTTGACACCATTGCATAGAATTTTAATTAATTTTGGTAACACTTTACAATAAGGTCTCATTTGTTTACATTAGTTCATTAATGCATTAACATGAACTAACAATGAGGAATATATTCTGCATTTATTAACCTTTGTTAATGTTACTTAATAAAAATGTGCATGTTCTTTTTAGTTCACTGTGCAGTAATTAATGTTAATAGATACAACTTAAAAAATATTGGTACATGTTAAGATTAACAATTAACTAAGATTAACAAATGCTGTAGAAGTATTGTTCATTTTTATAGTTCATGTAGCTAATGTTAAAGTCCCTCTGTAGTCAATAATTGTATCTTTGATCACCAAAATGACATATTAAAAGACATATAATATATCTTTACATTCCTTGAAAAAAGATGCTTCATGCCTTAAATTAACTTGAATGTAACCTTACACCCTTGCCTCAGTGTATGCGTTCTATGATTATGCAAATTAGCCCCGCCTCCACTCACTCACACCAGCTCAGAGATCCACTCGTTGAGGTGATTGGTTACAAGGTAGTTTATGACGTCAGAAACCCCAGCGATTTCAAAAAGCGTTTTTGAGACTGTCTTTGCTTCACTGCCGTTTTTAAGAGAACATACTCAGCAATGGTGTTGACTTATGAATTTGCACATGGTTTGCCTTAAAGCATATTAAAAACACCACATAGACATATAAACAACATTAAAAGCTTTCACCACAGGGGGACTTAAACAAATGAAACCTTATTGTAAAGTGGTACCATTTTAATATTGCATAGAATTTTAATATTATATTAATGATGATGATTTTTTGGTTATCGGCCACCATGAAAATAATTAGTATCAGCCAGAATATAAATATCAGTGCATCCCTATACCTAAAGCAAAAACTGTAGAATCTATTGAATTCACTGATTCAGAATCAATGAATCAGTACACTGTAAAAAAAAAAAAAAGTTGCTGCCTTAAAATTTTTCATTACAATTATGATGTTTAAGTAATTTCAACTTAAATTACATTAAATCCTCTATTTGGGTAATTTTGACCCAAAAAAATATATATTTTAAATTTTTTATTTAGTGTTCATCGGAACATCCTCTGGACTTTTGTCGCTCTTGAACCACGAATACACACACAAAAAAAGACTGGATTTGAGGAGTTTATGTGGGTGAAATAAAAACTCGGGGGTCAATTTGAGCTCCTTAGGTTTGAATGGAATGTGAAGAATGCTTCAGTATACATAGAAAAACCTAAAAAATGCTCAAAATTAAAACTAAAAATGCTAAAACTTTACCACAAAATTATTTTTGAATGTCTACATGTGTATCTGAATGCATACTGAAGAGAAAAACAGACCCAACGGAACAGCTAAATTGCATTTAAAAAAAAAAAAAAAAAAAAAAAAAAAAAAAAGTATAATTTTAGGGCTTCAAGAGGGATGAAGGTTTAAAAAAATAAAGTTAAACTTAAAAAAAGTTGAATCTTGTATAACTTGTAATGTAAAAACATGTTGTCATAACTTATTGATAATATAATTTTTTACAGTGTAACCAGTGCTTTAGCGTTGGACGAGAATCAGCCCATAGATGTGTTGTTTATTATAGCACAATAATTGAAAAGGGGAAAACAATTATGGAGAAAGCAGACTTACAAGGCATAACATTTTATTATACAGATAAATACCATAACTTTTCAAATTACAGAAATACGTGGGGCTCTATGGGCTCGAAATGTAACAGAGATTAGCTTTTTTCTTTTTTTTTGCATTGAAGGGTTCAAAAAAGGATTCCTGCATCCTCAGCATTTCAAGTCACATTGAATCATATATAGTTTTAGAGTTTTAATTCTGATGTGTGAGATACAATGCTTGATATAAAGGAGCTATACTGCTTTTGACAAAATACAGTTGTGCATTTCTATAGAAAAATATCTTAGAATTCGTATTGTAATGGCTGTGCTCTGTAAAAATTCTTATAAATAGAATAAACCTTATATAGTATATAAATGTCTTTTGTTTGTGCAACATCTGTTTTTAGAAAAATAATTCATTGTCCTGTCCTGTTATAAGAGCTCCAAACTCTCCTTCAGAAAACATATAAAAAAGAGCCCGTACACATTGCACTGCATTGTTGCACAGAATTGAAATACAACCAAATAAAACACGTCCTTCAAGAGTAAAATTTGATGCCTTAAACGTTTACCTCAGATTGTTTTGAATCAGATATACAGGCGTTAGTCCATTTAAAGTCTCCATGCAAACGAAAACTAAAAGCAAATGAGGGTTTGAAGAAGAGAAAGCCCTTGCACACTCACCAAACACTTATCTAGAATTTATCACACGATATCTAGAATTATATATATAATAAATAAATCTTTAATAAACCTTCCAAAGAGGAAAAATGCACATAAATACGATAAGAAGAATAACAAACAGAAGTCAAATTTCCAGATGTACCAAAAGAAAACCATTTTACAATATAGTGGCACATTTAAAATCAATTCCCAACGACTGCGTCAGTCAAAATTTGCATACTACAGATTTAAGACAAAGACTTCATCTCCTTTATTTCGTTTGAGGTAAACTGAAGTACTGTTAAAGACTCTTAAAGGCAATGTCCTACTTCCTCTAGCGCCACCCGACTGTGGTACTACCTGACTTTTGATATCCAAAGCATCCAAGGTCACAAGCATGCAAGCAAGCCCTCAACGACTTTTTTATTTCTCTCCGAAACATCTCACCTGCTGTCACATGTCATACCCGACATCTGAAGCACGACAACTCTTCCACAACATCGCGTGCACAATGGCATAGGCTTCATTTACATAACATGACAAACAGTCAATTCCCAGAATTCAATAAATAACACACTTTATAAGACTTTTTCATTGGTTTTGCCATGATCAGAATGGGCGTGATCAAAAAAAGAGCGGGAAATCGCATATCAGTGCATCAAAACTTGAAACCTTTCAAATCCGTTCATGTTTTTCCGTCTCTTGAATACCAGAACAAATGGGACAGAACTACAATGTCCCTCATTGGTGAAAGATTAAACTCTGTAAGTGTAAAAATAAATCATATTGCACATTTTTAATAAATAATATAATATTTTCCCATTTTTTTTAAAATAGTACCAATACTCGCACACACAAAAAAATTGGTAGTGATTTTTTTGCTTCGTATAATTCAAACACGGTGTTGATTGAGGTGAACAAACATAAAGGAAAGAAAGAAAGGTACATGAAAACAAAAACTGAAACGTGATGAGTACAGTAAGGAGCTTCCGAGAAGAACGCAGGAGATGCTAGAAGAAACTGCAGTGGGTCAGTAAAGGGTGTAAGACGGGACGAGTGACGCTGGCGTACGCGTTCGGTTTCCTCTCACTGGAACGGACGCCCGCTGCAGCAAAGTCCCCTGAACGCATTCCTCTGGCACTCGGAGCACATCTCCCAGTTACACGTCAGATGGTAAATGAGTAAGGCAGCTGCTCCTGCCCATCATGTAAAAGTGCATCATCAAACATTTCCAGTTAAGTCTCTGCCAGAAGCCAGAGACCTATGAAGTGGCTGATATTAAGGCTTTCCATCAGCAGATATGAGTCACGTCACACTGCATTCTCTTCTTCTGTTTCCATTTTAATGGTAATTTTCCCCCCGAAATATTTTCACCTCGTTTAGCAGAGCCGGATGACATTAGACCATGTCATTTTCAAGGATGATGCTCTGGATTTCAAACTCCCATATGTTGATTCTTCAGCTCTCTCTGCTCTCTGGAGACTGCCTGGTGCCGTTTGGATTTCAGAAAGGTCATTGACACAACTGTGTGGGTTGCCATCCAACACTAAAGGAATACATGTTATACAGGGTTAAAAGTCACAATACATCCACAAAAATGCAGCTTGGGCTAGTTGCCACAGGGACTGTTGCAGTTATTTTGTATGTTGGCTTTAAACACATTATTCAAAAATGTGTTTTTTTTTGTGTGAATTCCATCCTCCAAACTGCAATTTCACTATTAGAACAGGCTACGTTCACTGTAAAAAGTTGCTGCCTTAAATTTTTAAGTAGAATCAACTTGGATGTTTAAGTCATTTCAAATTAAATTACATTACATTGACTTGTATAATTACATTTATTTGATCAGTAATACAGTAAAAGCTGTAATATTGTGAAATATTATTACAATTTAAAATAATCGCTTTCTATTTGATTATATTTTGAAATGCAATTTATTTCTGTGACGCAAAGTTGCATTTTCAGTGTCACACAATCATTCAGAAATCATTCTAATATGCTGATTTGGTGCTCAAGAAACATTTCTTATTATTATCAATGTTGAAAACACGTGTGCTGCTTAGTTTTATTTTATTTGGTTGGAAACTGTGATACATTCTTTTTGTCAGGATTCTTTGATGAACAAAGTTTAAAAGAACAGCATTTAATTTAAATACAAATCTTACTGACTCCAACATTTTGAACTGCAGTGTATAGAGAAAAAAAGCTTACCTTAAATGGTCGTGTTTCATGTCAGGAAATGGACAAAAATGATTGCCAATCCAATGTTCAAAAGCATAACCATTGCAACCAAAACTGAGTTAGGACCCTGGGTAAAAAAGACATATGATGTAACAATTACAGCACAATCCATAAAAAGACATCTGTAAGTATAAACAAGACACTTAAAGTAGCAAGCCAAGCACTTACAGATTCTTCCGCTAGTGTTTCATCTGCCATATCTATGCTGGCTTTCTTGGTATCAGCTAAGCTCTTTGGTTTAATGGACTCTTGTTTCCTGATCTTGGGCTCTGGTTTGGGAGTGGGTGTCCTGACTAGTTTGGGTGGCGGAGGCATCCTGGCCAAGCTAGACTGTGTCATCTCAGGCTCTTCATCTTCTGGTTCTTCTGGTGGAGGCATCTTCGACATTGGCTTCACATAGTAACTGTGATAAGCAGCATGTAGCTGCCCATTACCTGTGCTCGCAGGTTTGGGCGGGGGCATAAGGGCCTTGGGGGGTTTCGGTGGGGGCACTTCCTGTAACTTGATGGCCGGTACAAGAGGAGGGGCGGATACTTTGGTGATCTCTGCCACAATTGAGGCTCTCTCTTCTTTGCTTATCTTGCGAGCTACACTACTACTGTCCTTGCTTATCTTTCGGGCTACGCTGCTGTTGTCTTTGCTTATCTTGCGGCTGGCACTGGGGTTGGGTGCTTGGCTCTTCTGAGGAGAGTGAGGAGGTGACGGGTTTGGGCTCTGGACAGGAGAGTGGGTTGGAGTCGTGCCGTGGCGATAGAAAGGGCTGGTAGAAGACTTCTCCTTCTCCTCCTCCTCCTCTTTAGGTGCTTCCTCCTTAATCTCCTCCACCGGCTCACTGAACTTTTGTTTGATGTAGTCAAGTCCTGTAAGGAAGGGATCACATGTTGGGAGAAAGTTAGGGATATTACAAACTAGAACAGGCAGCCAATACAGGTCAGAAAAACTAAAGAACAATCCAAAAGAGATTCCAGGATTCAATACAAGTTAACCAGCATTTTGACAGCAAACTTCACTTCATTTTAGCCAAATTCTAGATCATAGATTAAAGTGGCCCTGTTATGCTGTTTTAAAGGTTCCTCATTTTGTTTTAGAGGTTTCCTACAACATGGAAACATGCATCTAAGGTTAAAAAAAAAAAATTAAAATGTTTAGTTCGAAGATTCTGTCTCTCTAAAGCCCTCCTTTACGTGAGGTTACTCTGCTCTGATTGATCAGATGGCCCAGTCTGTTGTGATTGGGCGGGTCAAAGTAGATGTTGTTCGTGGGTAGCCAATGAAAACCATAGGCCGGCATTATGCAAATTCGTTACAAACCTATGTAGGCATTTTTTTATATTCAGTATTAATATTCTTTAAAATGAGATACTAGGAACAAGTTACAGCCATGGATATTCCAAATCATAGCAACCAAAGCATAATTTTTAATTATTACACTGCATGAATAAAAGGTAATATTCTAAAAAGTAACTTGTTTTATATGTTATAACAATATATATATATATATATATATAGTATTGTACTGCAAACTTCACACATTGTTGCCAAATCTTAGGTCATCAGGGCCATACATTTAAATTAAAATATATTGTATACATTTGTTTTATAAAATATATATTTTTATATATAAACAAATTAACACTGCTGCGATTTTTACCTGTTTTGGAAAGTCGTGGAAATACTATAATGGATTTTTTTGTTTTGCTATAGAGTAAATAGGAATACAAAAATGATATTTGCTGTCATCTCCCATTCACCACTATAGATGTTTACCCAACTATGCTGACTTCTGCTTCTGAGAACCCCGGAAATGTGAAAGGGTCCATGAAAACCTTCTCAAGTCTATTCTGTAAAATAAAAGCCACTCTGTTTAATGTGTGCAAACCGTTCTGATTCCCAACAAAAAACGTGGTTCACTCTGCCACCCTGTCAATGAAAACTCTTAGTGCATCTAGATCAATTAACTTAGAAGGCAACAGCAACATGACGCAACGCTGAGTTTGCATAATAGAGCTTTCCGGGAAAATCATACGGCTCGAACTAGCTTAAGCCCAAACAATTTAACTGCAGTTTAATTCACTTGACATCTCTGGCATCCATGATGACTAACTTCAAAGAGTGAGAGGGCATTCTTAATGTTTAAATGGCTTAAAGTATCTTCTGAACATAATTCCTCACAATAACTTGATAAGAGCTCATGCTTTATGGAGGGTCCATTCCGTTTCTTCCTGTCTGAACAGAACTTCTGTCACAAGTTCCTAGCATTGTCTGTGTTATTTACTGACCTAAAGGGACCATGGTAGTGCACTACAAGCATAATTCACAGCCAAACACATAAGCCTGTTCTTCTGTCATTTACAGAAGACACTGATCTACTCATATGACCAGCTATTGACTAGCTGAAGTAGAAAACAGAATAAGTAACTGTTAAAAAGTAAGCAAAGTTAACTGTTCTTGATCATTAAACATAACATACTAATGAAACAAAATATGTCTCTATCAACATTAAGACTGATTTTGATCATATGATGTCTCATGTTACACGCCTTTGTGTAGAGTGTTATTCTCCATCCAACGGCAATAACTTAATCTTGTAGTTGCGGAGCAACTTAAAAATAAAGTCCACATAATGCTCTAAGATTGCTTTGATCTCTCTTTAATCCTCAAGCAAGACTCTGAAAGTGGCAGACTGCTACCCTGGGAAGGCACAATAGTAAAATACTGTAGTTTATATCAACAAAACAATAAATACAATGCACTTGAGCAATTTTAATAATAATTTAAATTCAAAATTATCTTAATAATACACCATGCATGACTATAAAATTAACTAGCGCACATAACTACAATGACAACTGAAAAACACACAATAGGGCATTAGACCAGAGTTACATGCACACCAAAGCAAAATTAGATTGTTTCGTTAAATCTATATAAAGCGGTCAAAAGATTACAATTTAGACATGTATATATATATATATATATATATATATATATATATATAGAATAAATATTTTCAGTTATTTTTATAAAAAATGAATCCAAAACAAGAGTGGGTGTGCTACAGTGATATATGAGAGGCAATAAATACAAAATAGAATACAAAATAAAATAAATAATAATAAATAAAATAAATACAAAATATTAATTTGTTCTCAGATGAAACAACAACATTTTCCAGGGCAACCACTGTTACAAGATGAAGATGAAGAGAGACGAAGCCAGATACAAAATATAAACGAGGTTTAATCCACAAGCAGGCGATAAAACATAACAGCGTGTGTAACACACACACAAACAACAACCGACAGAGAACTGAGGACGTAAGTGCAGATTCAAACAAGATAATGAATCAAACACAGCTAAACCCAACAAACTAATAACTTGTGACCATAGAAACAAAGGAGAAGCGGGAAAATCAAACAAAGGAACATTCAGGAACGAATTAAAACAAACTAAAAGGCCATGAAAACTGAAACTAACTGAACATAACTGTGAGAGTACATCCCCCACAGGGAACAGACGATGAAGAGGCAAAGGGATGGTGACTGACGTGGTGGAGGAATGGTGACATATGATACTATAGCATACTTTTTTAACGGTCGTGAAGTAAATTCAAATTCAATGGTACCTCAGACAGTATGGGATTTTGGACAAAAAAGGTTAGGAAACACTGCTGTAGGCAAAACTGTGTTACTTGAAGCAACGATAGGATTATATTCACAATCAGAATGCAGAAACCAAATCAGTACAAATGCATTACAAGCATGTAGGGCTGAAAAATAAAAGGTAATTTCAAAGCAATCCCATAGGTTTATAAGAATAATATGTTTCTTTGTGTTGTCCACAGATGACGGCTATATAATGGAAAATCCTGGGCATTAGAAACCATTAGAAAGGCCTATGGGGAAGCACCGGCCGTTTAAATCCTCTGGAGCATTGCATCCTCGCCAACCTTAAATTAGACCAAGCGTCAATAACAAGAGGTATTCATTTGATAGTTTACGGGACGGAAAGGCCTCATCTTCTGAGGTTGTGCTGGAGTAAAAAATTGCCTTTGTGTGGATTAGATTATGGCATGTGTGCGCTGTTATGATTTTTTTTCTTTTCGTAATTAGTATTTTTGTCTTATTTCCACCCAAAAAAATATCTAAACACCCTTAAAGGGATACTCCACTTTTTTTGGAAATAGGCTCATTTTACAACTCCCCCAGAGTTAAACTGTTGAGTTTTTACCGTTTTTGAATCCATTCAGCCGATCTCCGGTTCTGGAGGTACCACTTTTAGCATAGCTTAGCATACATCATTGAAGTGGACAAGACCATTAGCATTTCTAAAAAAAAAATGACCAAAGAGTTTCGATATTTTTCCTATTTAAAACTTGACTCTTCTGTAGTTACATCGTGCACTAAGACCGACGGAAAATGTAAAGTTGCGATTTTCTAGGCTGATATGGCTAGGAACTATGCTCTCATTCCTGCGTAATAATCAAGAAACTTTACTGTCGTACCATGAGTGCAGCAGGCGTAATGATATGACGCAGCGCCTGAAAATAGGCCACCTTCCGTCAACACAACGGAACTATTTTCAGGCGCTGCGTCATATCATTACGCCTGCTGCTCTCATGGTACGGCAGTGAAGTTTCTTGATTATTCAAACTGTCGGTCTTAGTGCACGATGTAACTACAGAAGAGTCAAGTTTTAAATAGGAAAAATATCAAAACTCTTTGGTCATTTTTTTTTTAGAAATGCTAATGGTCTTGTCCACTTCAATGATGTATGCTAAGCTATGCTAAAAGTGGTACCGCCAGAACCGGAGATCGGCGGAATGGATTCAAAAACGGTAAAACTCAACAGTTTAACTCTGGGGGAGTTGTAAAATGAGCCTATTTCCAAAAAAAGTGGAGTATCCCTTTAAGTTAAAGACAATGCAGTCTGGCGTTTTTCCTCTTTGTCGCCATCTCTGTTCGAAATCTGCAATTGCAGTCATTCGCGGAATTATCAACTTTATGTGAGTTGTACTTCAACAGCCTCGACACGGCACAGCACGGATGAACACAATGTTTGAGGAGATTATGCAGCTGTCAGTCACCGCGCCGATGTGGATATTGTCATTCAGAATCACAGATTATTCTTTTTGGAAGTATGACCAACATGAGAATTTTCACCGGAAAATGTCATCTGAACTAGTAAGAAATTTTGTTCCGGTTCTGACATTGCAGTAAATCGCGCTGATTAAATCTAACAATTGCTTATAAGCAGGGGTGCACATAAGTTTTTCAGTGAGTTACTCAGGTGAGTACCAGGAGATGGTGTTTGGTACTCACCCCATATGTAGCCTGGTCTTAATAAGTGCAGTCCTCCTCAGTGTAGAAGCTGTCAATCATGATGTCACATTCCCGGTTTTATAGCATCAAATAACTAACTAAAGACCAAACTTATTTTAAAAAACGAACACTTAAATTTACATCAGCGTGAATAAAACTACCTAAAATGACAGAAAACATCTTTGGAAATAATTATTTTGAAGTGTAATTTGATTGTTTAGTTTCCATCGCGTTCATTAGACTTCATGGTGAGGATTTTGAACAACTCACTGTCAGCGGTATTTTTTAAGTCAAAAATAGTCGATCTCCGAATGCAACTTAACAGGGAGGAGAGTAAAGATGGAAAGCTCCTAAAGCTTAGTTCCATTAAAAATTCACGGATAATTTGTTGTTTTGTCATAAGTGAAAAACAATATTGACCTTGTATTTGAAAAAGGATCCTCATAAGAAACAATACTAAAATTCAGAGTCAGTTCATTCGCATTCGGAGATCGACTATTTTTGACTGACAAAATGCCGGTGTTACTGTTCCGGCGGACA